AAGCCGGCTGAGGGATTCTGGGAGTTGAAGGCCACAAGTCTTCAAGCAAAACTGGCTGAGGGATTCTGGGACTTGGAGGCCACAAGTCTTCAAGCAAAGCCGGCTGAGGAATTCTGGGACTTGGAGGCCACAAGTCTTCAAGCATAGCCGGCTGAGGAATTCTGGGACTTGGAGGCCACAAGTCTTCAAGCAAAGCCGGCTGAGGAATTCTGGGAGTTGAAGGCCGCAAGTCTTCAAGCAAAGCCGGCTGAGGAATTCTGGGAGTTGAAGGCCGCAAGTCTTCAAGCAAAGCCGGCTGAGGGATTCTGGGAGTTGAAGGCCACAAATCTTAAAGCAAAACTGGCTGAGGGATTCTGGGACTTGAAGGCCACAAGTCTTCAAGCAAAGCCGGCTGAGGAATTCTGGGACTTGGAGGCCACAAGTCTTCAAGCAAAGCCGGCTGAGGAATTCTGGGACTTGGAGGCCACAAGTCTTCAAGCAAAGCCGGCTGAGGAATTCTGGGAGTTGGAGGCCACAAGTCTTCAAGCAAAGCCGGCCGGGGAATTCTGGGAGTTGAAGGCCACAAGTCTTCAAGCAAAGCCGGCTGAAGAATTCTGGGAGTTGAAGGCCACAAGTCTTCAAGCAAAGCCGGCTGAGGAATTCTGGGAGTTGAAGGCCACAAGTCTTCAAGCAAAGCCGGCTGAGGGATTCTGGGAGTTGAAGGCCACAAGTCTTCAAGCAAAGCCGGCTGAGGGATTCTGGGAGTTGAAGGCCACAAGTCTTCAAGCAAAGCCGGCCGGGGAATTCTGGGAGTTGAAGGCCACAAGTCTTCAAACAAAGCCGGCTGAGGAATTCTGGGATTTGAAGGCCACAAGTCTTCAAGCAAAGCCGGCTGAGGAATTCTGGGAGTTGAAGGCCACAAGTCTTCAAGCAAAGCCGGCTGAGGAATTCTGGGAGTTGAAGGCCACAAGTCTTCAAGCAAAGCCGGCTGAGGAATTCTGGGAGTTGAAGGCCACAAGTCTTCAAGCAAAGCCGGCTGAGGAATTCTGGGATTTGAAGGCCACAAGTCTTCAAGCAAAGCCGGCTGAAGAATTCTGGGAGTTGAAGGCCACAAGTCTTCAAGCAAAGCCGGCTGAGGAATTCTGGGAGTTGAAGGCCACAAGTCTTCAAGCAAAGCCGGCTGAGGAATTCTGGGAGTTGAAGGCCACAAGTCTTCAAGCAAAGCTGGCTGAGGAATTCTGGGAGTTGAAGGCCGCAAGTCTTCAAACAAAGCCGGCTGAGGAATTCTGGGAGTTGAAGGCCACAAGTCTTAAAGTTGCCAAGGTTGGAGTCCCCTGCTTTAGTGGATGACTCAGATGTGGTTCTGAAAGGGGCCACAAGGGGGCGCTCCTCACCAGAGAAAACTAATAGAAATAGCTAGGATGGAAGGAACAGGTAGTTCTCCGCTTACGACAAACATTGAACCTCACATTTCCGTTGCTAAGCAAGACAGGTTCGAACTTTCTTGCCACAGTTGCTAAGTGAATCACTGCAGCTGTTACATTAGTAACACAGTCATTAAGTGAATCTGGCTTCCCCATTGACTTTGCTTGCTGGAGCTTTGCAAAAGGGGATCTGCGACCGTCATAAATATGAATCCGTTGCCAAGCGTCTGAATTTTGATCGCATGACCACGAGGATGCTGCAAGGGTCATAAGTGTGGAAAACGGTCCTAAGTCACATTTTTCAGTGCCCTTGTAACTTAGAACGGTCGTTAAATGAACGGTCGTAAGTAGAGGACTACCTGTATTGTTGGTGGAAAAACTGCATTAAGAGAAGAATCGGGGCCAGGCGAAAGGCCCGTCACACGGTCTCCAAGGTCACATGACTAGAAGCAACGGATGGAAACTAACCAAGGAGAGAAGCAACATGGAATTAAGGAGAAATTTCCTGACAGCCAGAACAATTAACCAGTGGAACAGCTGGCCACCAGAAGTTATGGGTGCTCCATCACTGGATGTTTTCAAGAAGAGACTGGACAGTCACTAATTTGAAATGGTATAAGGTCTCCTGCTTGAACAGGGGGCTAGACTAGAAGACCTCCAAGGTCCCTTCCAACTCTGTTATTCTATTCTATTCTATTCTATTCTATTCTATTCTATTCTATTCTATTCTATTCTACTCTATTCTACTCTACTCTACTCTACTTCTATTCTATTCTATTCTATTCTATTCTATTCTATTCTACTCTACTCTACTTTACTCTACTCTACTCTACTCTAATTCTATTTTATTCTACTCTACTCTACTCTACTCTACTCTACTCTACTCTACTCTACTCTACTCTACTCTAATTCTACTCTAATTCTATTCTATTCTACTCTACTCTACTCTACTCTACTCTATTCTATTCTATTCTATTCTATTCTATTCTATTCTATTCTATTCTATTCTATTCTTTAGCCTAACTCTTAATTCTAATTCTAATTCTATTCTATTCTATTCTTTATTCTAATTCTAATTTTTATTATATTCTATTCTATTCTTTATCCTAATTCTATTCTATTCTATTCTGTTCTATTCTATTCTATCCTATTCTTTATCCTAATTCTATTCTATTCTATTCTGTTCTATTCTATTCTATCCTATCCTATCCTATCCTATTCTATTCTATTCTTTAGCCTAACTCTAATTCTAATTCTATTCTATTCCATTCCATTCCATTCTATTCTATTCTATTCTATTCTATTCTGTTCTGTTCTGTTCTGTTCTGTTCTGTTCTGTTCTATTCTATTCTATTCTATTCTATTCTTTAGCTTAACTCTAATTCTAATTCTATTCTATTCTTTATTCTAATTCTAATTTTTATTCTATTCTATTCTATTCTATTCTATTCTATTCTATTCTATTCTATTCTTTATCCTAATTCTATTCTGTTCTGTTCTATTCTATTCTATTCTATTCTATTCTTTAGCTTAACTCTAATTCTAATTCTATTCTATTCTTTATTCTAATTCTAATTTCTATTCTATTCTATTCTATTCTATTCTATTCTATTCTATTCTATTCTATTCTATTCCATTCTATGGTGACTCGCTGAGCTACCATGGCAAAAGAGGTTGTAAAATTGGACGTGACTCATTTAACAACTGCATCATTTAGCGACACCACCTGGTCGACTTTTCTGAGCTGGGAGAATAACCAGGGATGGACCTGCTTATTACATGGATAGGAGACCACAAATAGATCCCACTTAGAAAGTCGAACAATGTAACATAAGAAGGAAAAAAAATCACGAAAATTGCATGGTTCTATCCAGGGAATTGCTAGGAATTGCACGTAATTTAGGAAGGTTTTGACCTATCTTTATCGACTCTGCACAAGATCTGAAAGATTTTTATTTTTATTTTATTTTATTATTTAGAGAATTTATATTTATACCCTCCCACTTTTAGTGACTGTAGGCGGTTTTCTTGCGAGAGCCAAGCAAAGTGAATCCTTCCAAGAATCTTTCCCTGACTTTACGGGGAGACTTGTAGTCCTTGATTTATGACCAAAACTGGGATCACAACATCCGTCACTAAGTGATACAGTCACTAAGTATTTTAGGAGCTTTTCGTGAGGGTCATTAAGTGAATCGTGCAGTCGGTAAGTGTCCCCTGGCTTCCCCCATTGACTTTGCTTTTCAGAAAATTCTCAAGGAAGGTCACAAATGGAGACCGATGTAAGAATGAGGATCAGTCATAAGTTACTTTTTTCAGTGAGAACAAACCTCCCCTCTCTTGTAGCACTGATGATGTTCCCTAGTTGGGTAATGAAATGTCTGCAAGAAAACAACCAAGCTCAGAGAGTACCAAAGACCCCACACTTCTCCTCCTCCTCCTGTCCTCCCGTCCTCCCTTCTTCCCTTCTCTTTCTTTCTTTCTTTTTTCCTTCCTTCCTTTTGTTTCTTTTTTCCTTCCTTTCCTCCCTCTCTCTTTCTTTCTCTCCCTCCCTCCCTCTCTCTTTCTCTTTCTTTCTTTCCTTCTCTCCCTCTCCCTTCCTTCCTTCCACTTCCTTTCGCCTCTTCCTTCCTTCCTTCTGCCTTCCTTCCTTCCCTTCCTCTTTTTTCCTTCCTTTCCTCCCTCCCTCCCTCTTTCTTTCTTTCCTTTTTCTTTCTTTCTCTCTTTCTCTTTCTTTCTCTCCTTCCCTCCCTCTCTTTCTCTTTCTTTCTTTCCTTCTCTCTCTCTCTCTCTCCCTTCCTTCCCTTTCTTTCTCTCTTTTCCTTCCTTTCCTTCATCCCTCCCTCCCTCTTTCTTTCTTTTTTCTTTGTTTCTTTCTCTCTCTCTCTTCTTTCTTTCTCTCCCTCCCTCTTTTCTTCCTTTCTTTCTCTCTCTCTCTCCCTTCCTTCCTCTTCCTTTCCCCTCTTCCTTCCTTCTTCCTTCCTTCTTTCCTTCCTTTTCTTTCTCTTTTATCCTTCCTTTCCTCCCTCCCTCTTTTTTTCTTTCTTTCTCTCCCTCCCTCTCTCCCCTTTCTTTCCTTCTTTCCTTCTTTCCTTCCTTCCTTCCTTCCTACCTACCTACCTTTGTTTCTTTCTCTCTCTCGCTCTTCTTTCTTTCTCTCTTTCTCCCTCTCTCTTCCTTCCTTCCTTCCTTCCTTCCTTCCTTCCTTCCTTCCTTCCATTACTGATGTCGTTACCTAGCTGGGTCATGAAATATCTGCAGGAAAACCCCAAGCTCAGAGAGCACCAAGGACCCCACACTCCTCCTCCTCCTCCTCCTCCCTTCTATCACCGATGATGTTACCCAACCTGGCAGCCAGAGAGCTGGCAGGGGCGGGAGGGCGGACTCCTCCTCCTCCTCCTCCTCCTCCTCGTGAGCTCAGAGCCGGCCTGGGCAGCCGTTGCACAGGCAGCCCCGGGGACGCCCTCCAACTTTGCAAAGAGCACCAGGTCTGGGAAGGCAGCGCAGCAGCGAGGCGCATCACCTGGACAGCGGGCGGGACCCCCTCTCCTCCCCGAGCGATGGGCGCCTAGGCTGGGCAGCGGCAGCAGGAACCGCACCATGGCCATCAACGCGGACGCGCAGCTGGAGAAGGCGCTGGCCGGCTCTCCGCCGCCGCCCGCCGCCTCCTCCTCCTCTTCCCCGCAGGAGACGGAGCAGCTGCTGCGGAGCGGCCCGCCGTCCCCCAAGCCCTGCCCGGCCGAGGACGGGGCGGCGGCTGCCGTCGGGGCGGCGGCGATGGAGCCCAACGGGCACGGCCTGCTCTACAGGGCCGGTTCGGAGGGGCCGCTGGAGGCCACCTCGCTCTCCCCGTCGCGGCTCAGCCTGGGGCGCGCCTCGTCCACCGCCACCACCTCCAACCTCCCCGAAGCCGGCCGCTCTCCGGATTACCTGCCTCTGGCCATCTTCTCTTGCTTTTGCCCCATCTGGCCGGTCAACATCCTGGCCTTGGTCTTCTCCATCATGGTAAATGGGAAGGGGGGGGGGATTTAATCCTAAATCTTGAGGACTAGAAATTTTTTTTTTCAGGTTTAATTCGGGCGCTCTGATTTAGGAGGTCGTCGCCTCTGGGCGAAAGGGTCGCCCAGAATTAATTCAGAAAGAAGGGGGGGGAAATTGCTAAGCGTAGGCGGCGCGCGCCCAGGGCGCACGGGCCACCGCCCCGCCAGCACCCCCTTGCGTGCGCCCTGGGCGCATCGGGAGCCGCCGCTGCTCTTCCCGCGATCCGGACAGGTGGAAGGCAGACAGGTGGGATCTAGGAGAAGTTGGATGGGTTCAAGAAGGGCGGGGTCCCTTGAGGAGGACCGCAGAGAGCCCCCTCCCCAACCAGCCAGCCTTCTGAAGCAGGCTCGGCTTGGAGAGCGGGGTACCCCACTACCTCTCCAAACCTTCCCAAAAGCGCAGCGTTAAAGTCGGCGGGTTATAAAACGGGCTGGGAGATCCAGTTAGTAGCGGAGGCGAAATCCGGGGGCTGTGGGGGAGAGGATGTGACTCGACCCTTCGAACTAAACCTTTTTTAAAAGCAGAAGTTGCAAAAACAGCCAAGTTTTCCTAAGGCAGCGCTGGTGAGAGAGAGGCTCAAAGGAGCTTTGAGTGGCAGCTTCATCCCTGGAAGCTTTTCAAGAAGAGACTGGGCTGCCACCGGTCAGACGTGGTATAGGCAGGGTCTCCTGCTTGGGTGGGGGGGGGGGTTGGACTAGATGACCTACCAGGTCCCTTCCAACTCTGTTCATCTTTTAAAAGGGAGAGCCCGGTTAGGGGCCCCCTCCATTCAGGCAAAACTCTTTGAGATAATCGGGAAATGAGATTCTTTTCAAAAAGGCAGAGAGATGAAAATATCTCTTTAAAATCTTCAACTTCTTCCCGGCAGCAGAGGTTGAGGAAATAAAAGAGGGTGGGGGAGGAGGGGTTGGCTTTTATTCTGGAGAAATGTGATGGGCTTTCCGCTGATTGATTTCAAATAATGTGATAGATAACTTCCATTTCTGCCGATTTTGTGGTTTTGGGGAAAAGAAAAGAGGGAGAAGGAGAGGGAGGGGGGAGAGAGGGGGAGGGAGAGGGAATGAGAGAGTGAGAGAGAGGGGGGAGAAGAAGAGGGAGGGAGGGAGAGGGGGGGGAAGGGGGGAGAGTGAGAGAGATGGGGAGGGAGAGAGATAGGGGAGAGAGGGGGAGGGGGAGGGGGAGAGAGAGAAGGAAGAGAGAGAGGGAGAGAGGGAAAGGGAGAAAGGGGGAGAGGAGGGGAGAGGGAGAGAGAGAGAGGGAGAGGGTAATTGGGATTAATTGGGATTTTAAATTTTATATTTATTTATTTTATTTATTGATTAATTTTATTTCTATACCGCCCTTCTCCCGAACGACTCAGGGCGGTGTACAGCCTAATTAAAAACACAAAGACAGACAAAATTTAAAAATAATTGAAATTATTAAATAATAGGCCCAATTTATAAAACCCCAAATTTAAAATCCCATTTAAAACCAATTAAAATCTTGACATTGATAGCCCAGCCTGGCGGAACAACATGGTTTTGAGGGCACAGCGAAACACACGGAGTTATAGACTTGGGGGTTTTAAATTGGGAAGCCAATGATTTAATTCTTTTTAATTATCTTAACTTTTGTATTGTATGTATTTTTAATTTTGGCTGTTCACTGCCCTGAGTCCCTTCTGGGAGAAGGGCGGTATACAAATTAAATTAATAAATAAATAAATAAGGGTGAGAGAGGGGAGAGAGGGGGAGAGAGAGGGAGAGGGAGAGGGAGGGAGAGGGGGGATTCACTTAGAAAGCTGCCAGATCTGCCCAACTACAGCTGGGAATTGAGTAGTGAGGACAGAATTAGAAAACCTCCCTTAGAATTAAGGCAGTTCAACTCCAGAACTTCTCGGCTCCCTCCAGCAAATTTAACCAGGTCAATGGAAAGAATCCAGCTCATTATTCTGATGATGATTATATATTAAGCTAAGCATGCTTGGCTAACCATGGTTTTTTTTTGTTTTATTTATTTTATTTTTTTGGTGGCTTGTCAGGTTGTGCAAACTCAGCCTCTTTTCTTCTGTTTGCCCTTCAGCAATCTTTGCATGAATCTGGAAAAAATAGGTTAAAGTCATGAATTGGGCTAAACACGATGTGTGGATGAAGCTGTTAGGAAGATGCCCTGTTGAAATAAATCCTCAGGGGTATTCCTCCTAGGCATGTGCAGAGTGCTTTTTCCGGTTCAGCCGTCAGGCTGTACCCCTCGATCTGTTTTCTTTGCTTTGTTTCTCAAGTGGGGAGATGGATAGCAGGCAGGACAAAGAGGCAATGCCACCATACACAAAAGTGTGAGTTTGTCTATGTGTCGCTCTTTGACACCCTGGAGGGCAGGATCTGAACCAGCAACCTGTAGTAGATTCAGCTCACCAATAAAGGAAAATATTTGTAGCTCAGGGTTGTAATGTGAGCTCCTTGGTGCTCTCTGGGCTTGGTTGTTTTCTTGTAGACATTTCATGACCCAACTAGGTAACATCATCAGTGCTAGAAGGGTTAGTGCTAGAAGGTTTGCAGAGAGGAAGAGGAGGAGGAGGAGGAGGAGGAGGAGGAGGAGGAGGAGGAGGAGGAAGAGGAGGAGGAAGAGGAGGAGGAAGAGGTGGAGGAGGACGAGGAGGAGGAAGAGGAGGTGGAGGAAGAGGAGGAGGAGGAGGAGGTGGAGGAGGAGGTGGAGGAGGAGGAGGAGGAAGAGGACTGTGGGGTCCTTGGTACGCTCTGAGCTTGGTTTTTTTCTTGCAGACGTTTCATTACCAAGCTAGTTAACATCATCAGTGCTCCTGTGATGATGCTACATAGTTTGGGAAATGAAACATCTACAAGAAGACAACCAAGCTCCGATATTAGGAGGAATTTCCTGGCGATAAGATCGAGTGGAACTAGCTGCCTCATGAAACTGTCTGTTCTCTTCCCTAGAGTAATTCAAACATAGAGCCCTCTTTCCAAAATGCCTTAGCATATTTTGGGTCGAGATAGGTGATCTCTGGGGGCCCCTTCCAACTTTTATAACTCTGTAAATTTTAGGCAGCCTTCCTCCTGCTTCCCGGCAGCTTTGTGGACAAACACCTGTGCGTCATGTGCTTCAAGAGATGATGCAGATACTACAATGCTCTGACAAAGCTCCGGTCAGTTTCAACAGTGCCCTTATGAAAGACCGAAGATCTGCAGAACTTTGGCGAGAGAGAGGAGATCCGTATTCACACTCAGTAGCAGTCAGTTCCCCCGGCTGAAAAAAATTGCATGGTGTAAAAAATACTTTGCTCTCCTCCACAAGCTCAGTTCAGTTCCTAATTTTTTTTTTAAATTGGAGCATAAAGGACTCTGAATTTCGGAAGCGTGGAAGAGAAGGGACTCTTTCGGCCTGCTCCAGATGTGGCAGCTTTGCCTTTGACAAGGCCAGATGTTATCTTTTCGGAATGAAGCTCCATAAGGGAGCAAATCCGTATTCAGTGGTATTTTTTGATTGATGGATCACCCAAAGGCAGGACAAGAAGCAACCGATGGAAACTCATCAAGGAGAGAAGCAACCTAGAATTAAGGAGAAATGTCCTGACACTGTTGGAGCAATTGACCAGTGGAACAGCTGGCCACCAGAAGCTGTAGGTGCTTCATCACTAGAGGTTCTTAAGAAGAGACTGGACAACCATTTTTTCTGAAATAGTATAGTACTGAAATAGTATAGGGTCCAACCTCCTGCTTGAGGTTGGACTAGAAGACCTCTAAGGTCCCTTTTCCAACTCTATGATTCTCTTATTCTATATATGATAGCAGTCTTCCAATATTTGAGGGGCTGCCACCAAGAGGAGGGGGGCTCCACCCATTCTCCAAAGCACCCGAGGGCAGGTGAAGAAGCAATGGATGGAAACTAATCAAGGAGAGAAGCCACCTGGAACTAAGGAGGAATTTCCTGATAGTTAGAACGATTAACCAGTGGAACAGCTGGCCACTAGAAGCTGTGGGCGCTCCATCCCTGGAGGTTTTCAAGAAGAGACTGGATAGCCACTTGTCTCAAATGGTATAGGGTTTCCTGCCTAAGCAGTGGGGTGGACTAGAAGACCTCCAAGGTCCCTTCTTCCAAGTCTGTTTTTTCTGTTACAACCAACGATTGCACTTCCCATCTCTTCGACACTTTTTAGGCGTCGAATCAAATGCCGAATGAAAACATTGAAACTGTCAATAAAGTTCTTCAATTTAAAAATAAAATCGAGATAAAACCAGGGTGGATTTGATTTAAATCGAGTCGATTTAAATCATGATTTAAATCACTAGTAAAAAGGCTTGATTTCAATCCACTCGATTTAAAACATAATTTTTAAAGAGCAGCCGTCATCTCTGCTCCTCCTTTGACCCACCGTTGACTCACCGATCGTCCCAGTGTTGCAGAATATACAGCCTCCTGCTACATAACTAAGCTCCGTTTCATGCTGAAGAAACTAAATTATTTACGTATCTTACATAGAAAACTATCTTAACGATAGATTTTTACCCCAAAAGTTTTTTATTAAAATAAATTCAATAAAAAATCTGATTTAAATAAAAAAAAATCTGATTTAAATTTAAAAAATCCGATTTTTTTGATTTTTTTTTAAAAAAATCATTGATTTTTATCCACCCTGGATAAAACTAAGCAGGATGGAAAGGCAGGGAGCTAAGGATATTGAGCATATCCAGGTCAAATTCCTCCTGTCCTCCCAAGACCCTGTTGTTCCGCCAGGCCGGACTATCAACATAACAATTTTAAAATTCTGGGGTTTTAAAATTCAGCCAAATTTATTTAATAATTTTAAACCATTTTAACTGATGTTGCTTTGTGTTTTTAATAGGCTGTACACCGCCCTGAGTCCTTTGGGAGAAGGGCGGTATAGAAATAAAATTATTATTATTATTATTATTATTATTATTATTATTATTATTATTATTATTATTATTATTTAATCTTTAGTGAGATTCACAGCCTTTGAGGCTGGTTAATAGCTCAGCAGCTCGAGTCCTAACCAAGGACCTAGGAACTGTTAAGGTATCGTCGGAGGATGTAAGCTGTTCCGAGTAAGGTGGTTTTTTTATTATTATTATTATTATTATTATTATTATTATTATTATTAAGATTTGCAATGGGGGTCTGTTTGTCAGCATTGTAAGCTGCCCCACCTCTGCCTGCCTCCAATGCAAAGACAGAGCCTACTGTCTTTCTGGAGGGGACGCACAAAAAGGCGAGATCACACACACACACACACACACACACACACACAACCCCACCCATTCAGGCCATTTTCAGAGGCAAAAGCAACGAAGATCCTTTTTGCATGACACCGTTCACAACTGTCAACAAAAGTGGCAGATGTTATTCTGGAATAATGGCGAGCGAAGGGTGTGGCTCTTTGTGTGTGTGTGTGTGTGTGTGTGTGTGTGTGTGTGTGTAACACAGAGAGAGGGAGACGAAAGGGGAGATTATAGGGATGAGAATGAAAAGACAAACTTAGCTAAATGGATTTCTGTGCTCTGCCGTTGATGATAAGGTTCCCAAACGGCCTTTGCATTTATTAATTGATTAAATAAATAAACAAAATAAATATTAATTGATGACGACGGCTCCTTCGCCCCTTATCCGGAAAGCAACTCACGAGCAGGTGAAACATTGGTGAATAAATACGGAATAGCAATTATTTAAACATAAATAGACATCGTTGGTCGCCACGATGTAAAAAAAAGATGTGGGGACTCTAGAAAGAGTGCAGAGAAGAGCCACAAAGAGGATGAGGGGATTTGAGGATAAAACGTATAAAGAACGGTTGCTGGAATTGGGGGTGTCTAGATTAATGAACAGAAGGACTAGGGAGGACATGATAGCACCAGTCCAATATTTGAGGGGCTGCCAAAAAGAGGAGTTGGGGCTCCACCTATTCTCCAAAGCACCTGAAGGCAGGACAAGAAGCAACGGATGGAAACTCATCAAGGAGAGAAGCAACTTAGAACTAAGGAAAGATTTCCTGACAGTGAGAACAATTAATCAGTGGAACAACTTGCCACTAGAAGTTGTGAATGCTCCAACACTGGAAATTTTTAAGAAGAGGTTGGATAACCATTTGTCTGAAGTGGTATAGGGTTTCCTGCCTGAGCAGGGGGTTGGACTAGAAGACCTCCAAGGTCCCTCTGCTATGCTATGCTATGCTATGCTATGCTATGCTATGCTATGCTATGGAAGGAAGGAAGGAAGGAAGGAAGGAAGGAAGGAAGGAAGGAAGGAAGGAAGGAAAAGGGACTGCAAGGGCAGGACAAGAAGCAACTTAGAACTAAGGAAGAATTTCCTGACAGTTCAAACAATTAACCAGTGGAACAGCTTGCCACAAGAGGTTGTAAATGCTCCATCACTGGAATTTTTTAAGAAGATGTTGGATAACCATTTGTCTGAAGTGGTGTAGGGTTTCCTGCCTGAGCAGGGGGTTGGACTAGAAGACCTCCAAGGTCCCTCTGCTATGCTATGCTATGCTATGCTATGCTATGCTATGCTATGCTATGCTATGCTATGCTATGCTATGCTATGCTATGCTATGCTATGCTATGGAAGGAAGGAAGGAAGGAAGGAAGGAAGGAAGGAAGGAAGGAAGGAAGGAAGGAGAAGGGACTGCAAGGGCAGGACAAGAAGCAACTTAGAACTAAGGAAGAATTTCCTGACAGTGAGAACAATTAACCAGTGGAACAACTTGCCTCCAGAAGTTGTGAATTCTCCAACACTGGAAGTTTTTAAGAAGAGGTTGGATAACCCTTTGTCTGAAGTGGTGTAGGGTTTCCTGCCTAAACAGGGGGTTGGACTAGAAGACCTCCAAGGTCCCTTCCAACTCTGTGATTCTATTCCATTCTAAAGCAAACTCTAATACTAATGGCCCTAACACTGGCATTTCTAATGCTCGTTCTTTAATTGTGATTAATAATTCTAGTATAATTTGGATTATTGTTCACATCGCCTTAGTAAAAAAAATCAGAGCTCTGGTAACATCTTTTTTTAGGTCTTTTGATACAGGTAGTCCTCAACTTACAATTATTCATTTAGTGACCGTTCGAATTTACAACAGCGCTGAAAAAAGTGACTTAGGATCATTGTTCACACTTATGACCGTTGCAGCACCACCGTGGTCATGTGGTCAAAATTCAGCCGCTTTGGCCACTGACTCGTATTTATGACGGTCGCAGTGAGTGTCCTGGAGTCAGGAGATCCCCTTTTGTGACCTCCTGACCAGCAAAGTCAAGGCGGGAGACAGATTCACTGAACATCCGTGTTACTCGCTTAACGACCGCAATGATTCAACTTAACAACTGTGGCAAGAAAGGTTGTAAAATGGGGCAAAACTCACTGAACCAATGTCTCATTTGGCAAGAGAAATTCTGGATCATGTGACCCTGGGATGCCGCAGGTGTGAAAAACGGCAGCCGATGTAACTTTGAATGGTCACTAAATGAAGGACGGTTAAGTTGAGGATTGTATTACTGTACTACTTTTGTATAACAGTTCCAAGCAAAAGTCAGACGGAGGGAAAGTTATCCTGGGATTTCACAGCTTAGGCAGGGAGCCTGCGGTTTCCAAATTAAAACTAGCTAGTGGATGTGGAATTCCTAGTTTCAGGAAAAGGACCATAGAGGAGGAGGAGGAGGAGGAGGAGGAGGAGGAGGAGGATGGGGAGGGGAGAGAGAGGAAGGGGAGGGGAGGGAGATGGGGAGGGCGAAGAGGAAGAGGAGGAGGAGGAGGAGGGGGAGGGGAGGAAGGGGAGGAGGGGGGAGGGGGAGGGAGATGGGGAGGGGAGGAAGAGGAGGAGGAAGAGGAGGAGGAGGAGGAGAAGGAGGAGGAGGGGGAGGGGAGGGAGAGGAAGGGGAGGAGGAGGGGGAGGGAGATGGGGAGGGGAGGAGAAGAGGAGGAGGAAGAGGAGGAGGAGAAGAAGGAGGAGGAAGAGGAGAAGGAGGAGAAGAAGGAGGAGGAGGGG